GGTTCTAGAAAAGGCCTCAAAAAGCCCCTGGACCATCAGTTGATAATCACAGTTGTAGCTTGTTTTGCAGCTCTGGACACATTTTATTAGTGAGACAGTAGCAGAAATGGCTCTTGATTGTAAAGGTTGCAAAACCCTGATTTAGTCATTAGCAGTCATCAGGCAACTTCTGAATGCAATTGGTTGTGCTCAGAGGGTGCTGAATACTTTTGCACACTGCACTTTTAATTTTTTTCATTTGCAAAAAATGTTTTGAAATCATGTACAATTTTCTTTCCACTTCACAATTGTATACCACTTTGTGTTGGTCTTTCACATTAAATTCCAGTGAAATATATTTATGTTTGTGGTTGTAATGTGACAAAATATGAAAAAGTTCAAGGGGTATGAATACTTTTGCAAACCACTGTACAAAGTCCACACAGTGGTTCTGATCTGTTTTTATTTGAATCTGTACGGAGTTTATAAACCTTTTTGAAACCTGCATGTAATGAATCGGATTATATCTGATAGAGACGATATCCCCAAACGCACCTTTCACTTCAACCACTCCCAGAAGGGGCGCAAAGGAGTCACCTACAGCCTGATACTCAATTATGTCTGAGTAAACAAATAAATTATAATTTCCAGTGTGTAGATCCGTTTGGTACATTGCCGGTCTTTCGGATAATGTAAACCACTTCGACGGGTCCAAACCTATCAGATAACACAATGGGGGCTGCAATCTGATTTGATATTGACCTTGACCTTTAAATTCCACTTTTTGCGTTATAGAATTAAAAGACAGCTCCACTGCTGATGTGTACTCGTGTAACGCACTTGTCATCTGCTTGAGCAAGTCTTGAATACTTCGGAAACTTCCACCTCCGCTGATTTTTAAAGGAATAACAACTGATTCCTCTTTATTTGTCCCATAAGGCTGCGCGAATTTTCTAAGTTCGAAGGAGCAGGACGTGCTGGGGAGATTGTACCACGTGTGAGGATAAATGTGTAGGGGTCACCTCTAGTGAAGAAACAAGATTTACTGCCTCGAAGCAGGCCTCGCACAGACCTGACGAGAAGACAGGAACTCTGTCACAAATTGAACTCTGTTTAGGCCATGACAGGTCATTTCAACCTAGGAGAATTTCTCAGTTCTCTTAATCAGACAATGGATAGAACAATCTTATCTGTTCGTGATTCATTTGTTGTTTAACTAAGAATGTTTATGCATTTGTTAAATCATGATAATGACTGTCACAAGAAAGTGGAATCACTCCTACTCTTTTATCGTGCCTAAAAGATTAATTAATGGTATAAAAAAATCACAGAGAAAATCATTACCATGTTTTCATTGTGTTTTTATATAAATCACTGTTTTTATTTTACTGGGAACACAGTAATATAATTGTGGGTTTTCTTGAGAAAATCTTTCATTTATCTGGACTAACAGGATGGTTCAGACTGATTACTTAAACAGAAATGTTAATTAATCATCATAAATGTTTTGCAGTGATTTCTCTTAGAGTCTATCTGGAGAAAAGCTAAAGAAATGTTATCATATTCTGTTGTGAACAACCACAGAATTTAACCTTGACTGCCGCCTGGCTGGCAAGTCTTTATCTTTCTTCCTTTTTCTGACTCATCTTACGCCTGAGGGCGGAACCAAAGTTCGTCCGTTTCTATTACTAACCCGGATGTCTTTGAGACGCACACTTCTTTCTGGATGCCAAACTTGGAAGGAATGCTGAGTTTCTCTCCGGAGAAGCCAGTTTGGCTCGTTAGGTCTTGCCCATGTGCCAACTAGGGAAGATCTAACGGCCGGGACTCGGCATGCCAGCCGAATGTCCCACCCCGAGGCTGCAAGTCTCAGAGGGTGTTTTTAACTCCCGAGGGGACATTTTATTTTGAAAGAAGGCACTGGATCTACAGCTTGAATCTTTCTGGCTTGGACTGAAACAGACAAAAAATTACCTGAAATAACACCTTTTCGCCAAGAAACAGTAAGCGAGCCGATTAAAAAGTTCCCTGAGTGATCGGAAGTGAGGCAGTGACTACCCAGGGGTCGCTTAAGAAGCCACCACCAGGTAAAACTGACGTGTTCTGGGTGACGTGTCATGTAGAAACTGAGTGCAGAAGGGACGTGCTGATCCGGTGGGCCACGCTCTTGATAAAGTAACATTAGTATAATACTAACCTTACTTTCACCCTTTTCTTTGTCTTTATTAGCCAAAACTTAAGCTAAAAGTGCCGGTAAAATTGTTTGGTTGTAACATCAGAACTGACATTTTACTGTTCTATATATAAGTAATCTGAGTTGATGTGAATTAAATTTTGGATGCAAGTTTTTATCTCATTTAACTTTGAAGCTAGGAATACCCACAATCAAGTGTAACTTACGATCTGTTCAATTTGTGTAAATAAATGATTGCATAGTCTTTTATGAATCAACTTGAACTCGTCTGAACGTTCACTTATTGTGTCACTTTTCACTTCGCACAGTCAAGATATTAAAAGTAATGAGAAAATACCTRGGTAAAATTTTCCTCATAACCTTGTTTATGAGAGATG